CAGATATTTACATGTCTGTGAGTAATGTATAAGATTGGCACACAGAGAAATAATCTTTGAAATAACTGCAACACAGTTGAGAGAAGTGGATATGATGAAAAGATGATTGCGTCATCATATCAGGGCTTCCAATTTTTGTTGCTCGAGGTCAGGAGTTCGAAACTCAGCCTTGCAGAGTGAGACCCCATTCCTTACTACAAATAGAAAGAAATTAATTGGCCACTCATATTATATATAAAAAATTAGGCCGGGGCATGGTGGCACATGCCTGTAGTCCAGCATACTCGGGAGGCTGAGGCAGAGGATTGCTTGAGCCCAGGAGTTTTGAGGTTGCTGTGAGCTAAGGCTGACGCCACGGACTCACTCTAGCCTTGGGCAACAAGCGAGACTCTGTCGTCAAAAGACTCTGTCTCAAAAAAAAAAAAAAGGAACAAAACTATCGCCAGGTGACAGAAATAAGAGAAAACAAAGTCAAAACAATCAGAGAAAGGTGATATTCTATTGCCCAAGAAGTTCAGATCTGACACAGGCCTTAGTGGCTAGGGGCTGGGATCCTAACACGTACATCAAGAAAGCAGATGGGATGGGTCATGAGACATGGGGAACTAGAACTGAGCTCTTGCACACAGCTGAAAGTACTAGAGGCTCAAATACTAGAAAACTCCATGAAAATTAACAAAGAACTTACCTCTACCTTGCACTTCACTTGGGCATGGGGGAAAGTAGCCTATAGGAAAACAAATCTCTAGATCCATGCCATGTACAGACATGCACACTAAATTTTATACATTATTCATGAGATATTGGAACTGCAAGCCAGGAAATTAACATAATAATTGGTCCATAACTACTAAAGTACCCAGAGTCTCTCAAAGAAACAAGCATGAAAACACTATTTCACAAACCAGGGCACCTGTGGCTCCCGCAGAATAATTATCACCAAAATGAACATGAGCTCATAAGTAAAAAACTAAAACACATACAGGGAAACAAAACAACACAACTGGTAGCCAGCAGGTACACAAATCAAATTAATAGCCCTTCCAAAATATGAGACATTTAAGTAATCTGAAAATATAAAATAATGTTCAAAATTATAAGAGATAAAATTACAGAACAGTATAAGAAAATCAGGATAGGCAGAACTAAAAAGAACCAAATAGAATTTCTAGAGATGAAATTTAATTATTGAAATAAAAACTCAAATGAACAGCCTAAGTGGCAGATTTGAAATAGCTATGGAAAGAATTATAAGTAAAAGAGAGCTGAGAAAATTAACTATAATGAATCACAGACATATAAAGACATGGAAAAATAAAAAAAAGCAATATAACACCATAGAAGATAGAATGAGGTCTAATGTATGCCAAATAGGAACAGAAGACAGAGATAACAAGGAAATAGTTTATGTGATACCACTTTAGAATTTTCCAGAATAGAAGACCTTAATCATTAGATTGAAGAAGCAGCCAGAGTCTTAAGCAGAAAAATTTTTTAAAAAAAGCAAACTCAGACTCATCCTGATCAAACATCATCAAAACATAACATCCAAGACTAAATGAAATCTTTTTGTTTGTTTTAAAGACAGAGTCTCACTCTGTTGCCTAGGCTGGAGTATAGTGGCATGATCATAGCTCACCATAAGCTCAAACTTCTAGGCTCAAGCCACCCTTCTGCTTCAGCCTCCCAAGAAGCTAGGATCACTGTGAACACCACCATACCCGGCTAGTTTTTAAAATTTTTTTGTAGAGACAGGGTCTCGCTATGTTGCCCAGGCTGGTCTTGAAGTCCTGGCCTCAACCTCTGAAAGCACTGAGATTACAGGTGTGAGCCACCACACTGGCCCAGGAAATCTTAAAAGCAAACAAAAGAGAGATTACTAAGAAAACCAAAAAAGACACGTAGACTGATAGCAAAACATCTCATCAGCACTAATAGACACCACAAAACAATGAGGTAATATTTTCAAAATGCTGAGGAAAAATAGCCAAGAATTCTATATTCAAGTAGCAATGGTAAATTAGACATTTCAAACAAAGATCGAGAGAGTTTACAACTCTTAAACCCTGGCTGAACTAATTATTTAATAATGTCCTTCAGTTTGGATTCCTTCTTGAAATAATGTTTTTAAATCCATAAAAGAAAATGTATAGGACTACAAGGAAATAAATTCTATTAAAATACAGTCACTCTGGGCATGCATATACAAAAAAATGAATTTAGACATAGACCTTTTGCGTTTCACAAAAATTAACTCAAAATGAATACACCTAAATGTAAAATGAAAAACTATGAAACTTCTGAAAGATAACATAGGAGAAAATATTGGTGACCTTGGGTTTGGCCATGACTTTTTAGCTATAACACCAAAAGAACAATCAGTGAAAGAAAAAATTGATCAATTGAACTTCATTAACATTGAAAACTTCTGCTCTATTAAAGACACTGTTAAGATAATAAAAAGACAAGCCACAAACTGAGAGAAAATCTTTGAAAAACACATATCTGATAAAGGACTGGTGTTCAAAACATATACAGGATTCTTGAAACAAGAAAACAAAAAATCCATTAAAAATGGGCAAAGGATCTAAACAAACATCTCTTGTTATAAAGGTCACAAGTAAGCATATGAAAATGTTCCACATCATATGTCTTCAGGGAACTCCAAGTTAAAACAACAATGACATACCACTACACACCTACCAGAATGGCTAAAATACAAAACACTGACAACACCAAATGCTGACAATGATGTGGAGTAACAGGAACTCTCATCTAGCATAGTAATACGCTAGATGCATATTGGGAATGCAAAATGGTAGTCACTTTTGGAGACAGTTTGGCAGCTTTGTAGAAACTAAACATACATATGCTTACCATATGATCCAGCAATCATGCTCCTTGGTATTTATTTACCCAAATGAGTTGAAAACTCATGTCTATGGAAAACCTACATACAAATGTTTATAGTAGCTTTATTCATAACTGCCAAAACGTGGAAGCAACCCAGGTGTTCTTCAATAGCTCAATGGATAAACGAACTATGGTATATCTATATAGTGGAATATCATCAACATTAAAAAGAAATGAGCCATCAAGTTACTGAAAGAAAACTTAAATGCATATTGTTAAGTGAACAAAGCCAATCTGAAAAGGCTACATAGTGTATGATTCCAGCTACATGACTGGAAAAGGCAATATTATACAGACTGTAAAAAGATCAGTGGTTGCCAGGGACTGCAGGGAGGGAGGAATGAATAGGTCAAGCACAGAGGATTTTTAGGACACTGAAACTATGCTATATTATATTGTAATTTTGACTACATGTCATCAAGCATTTATCAAAACCCACAGAATGTACAACACCAAGATTGAACCCTAATTAAACTATAGACTTAAGCTAATAATAAGGTATCAATATTGGCTCATCAACTGTAACAAAAGAACCACACTAATATAGCATGTAAGTAACAGGAAAAATTGTGTGTGTGGTGTGGGAGAAGGGGCACAATTTGGGAACTCTACTTTTCTATCAGATTTTCTGTAAACGTAAAACTGCTTCAAAAGAAAGCCCATTGATTGAAAAAAAAAATACTAGACAACAGTATAATGACATATGGGAAGATGAAAGTTAAAGCATTCTAAGGTTCTCATATTGTTTAAAACAAAGAGATGCTGATTATCTTTAGACTTTTTAGTCAATGGTGCATGTTAAAAATTTAAGAAAATCCACTAAATGAAGAGGATTAAATAAAATCAATCTTTGCTGCAGAGTAAATCTATTATTTTTAACTGTGGTGGCTTACCTGAGATTCCAGAACCTCCAACTTACATTTCCTTGCATGAAGAGCTTTACTTGGAAAAGCCCAATAATAATTAGAAGTTCCAATCCTCTCACAGTCAACCATACCATCATCAACTAAACTTTGAAGGACTTCTTTTACTGACATAGCAGCTAAGAGAAAGAATTTTTAGACTCCATGTTAAAAAAAAACATACATAAAATCAAAAGGCAAATTACTGGTGAAACACTTGCAAGAAGTATTACAGATCAAGAGTTAGTGAGTTAATGGTTGGGTGCGGTGGCTCACGCATGTAATCCTAGCACTCTGGGAGGCCGAGGCAGGAGGATTGCTCAAGGTCAGGAGTTTGAAACCAGCCTGAGCAAGAGCGAGACCCCATCTCAACTAAAAATAGAAAGAAATTGGACAACTAAAAACATATAGAAAAAATTAGCCGGGCATGGTGGCGCATGTCTGTAGTCCTAGCTACTCAAGAGGCTGAGGCAGAAGGATTGCTTGAGCCCAGGAGTTTGAGGTTGCTGTGAGCTAAGCTGATGCCATGGCACGCTAGCCCGGGCAACAGAGTGAGACTCTGTCTCAAAAAAAAAAACAAAACAAAAAAAATGAGTTAGTGAGTTAATAAATAAGGAGCTCATAAATACAGTATGCACAACAATGAAATTGCTTAATGACACATTTCTCAGAATGTAGCCCCATCCTTAAGCAAAATATCATTGTATGGGGGGAAAGGGGGCTTAGGGGAAAATGGGTAGGGTAAAGGATTAAGAATAGGAGTTGAGGCCGGGCGCGGTGGCTCACGCCTGTAATCCTAGCACTCTGGGAGCCTGTAATCCTAGCACTCTGGGAGGCCGAGGCGGGCAGATTGCTCAAAGTCAGGAGTTCAAAACCACCCTGAGCAAGAGCGAGACCCCGTCTCTACTATAAATAGAAACAAATTAATTGGCCAACTAATATATATAGAAAAAATTAGCCGGGCATGGTGGTGAATGCCTATAGTCCCAGCTACTTGGGAGGCTGAGGCAGGAGGATCGCTTGAGCCCAGGAGTTTGAGGTTGCTGTGAGCTAGGCTGATGCCATGGCACGCTAGCCCGGGCAACAGAGTGAGACTCTGTCTCAAAAAAAAAAAAAAAAAAAGAATAGGAGTTGAGGTCTAATCCTCTTGCCAGTAACACTGGATGACACTAGGGCAAATTGTTCTTTATGCATAAATGTTTTTCATCTAATAGATGTAATCATTTCCATACTTACTTTGGTATATAGTGGAATTCCAATGAAACATTACTTATGAGAAGTCTTTGAAAAGTAAAAAACACTATAGAAATGCAAGGTTTTTTTCCCAGATTTTATAATAGCAGATCTAGCATTGGTGCTCAGTACATAATTTCAATGGTATTATATTCATAAGTCTCTTGCTATATGGTATCTTTTCTTTTTTTAAAAAAGAAGTTAATGTTGAGTAATTTGGCTATTATCTTTTACTTTAAAAAATAATTTGTCTCTAAGGATACCCTAATCATGAAAGAAAAAAAAAAAAAGAAAAAAAATAAAAAAAAAAAGAAAAAAATAATTTGTCAATAACTGAGAGGGAGAATGGGTATGAAGGAAGATGGGGAAGGATTTAGTTAATAGGGATTTTTAAACTTTTATTTTTATCCCACAATGCTGAGATTACAGGCATGAGCCACAATATCCAGCCAATATGATTTTTTTTCTGTAAATATATCAGTCTTATTATAAATTGTATTGAATTTTGTTTTGTTTTGATCCTTTGATTCACAGTTGAGATTCCATTATATATAATCTGCCTTGGGACATTATAACACTGGTGTAATGATGACTGTATAGTTGATCCTTGAACAACATGGGTTTGAACTGCACAGGTCAACTTTTATGTGGATTTTTTTCAGCTTTTGCCGCCCCTGAGACAGGAAGACCAACACCTCTTCTTTCTCCTCCTTCTCCTCAGACTACTCTTAACGTGAAGACAAGGATGAAGACCTTTACGATGATCCACTTTCACTTATTGAATAGTAAGTATATTTTCTTTTCCTTATGATTTTCTTAGTAACATTTTCTCTTCTCTAGCTTACTTTATTGTACAAATACAGTACATAATACATATAACATATAAAATGTGTTAATTGACTTTTTATGTTACCAGTGTAAGTTCTGGTCAACCGTAGACTATTAGTAAAGTTTTGAGGGAGTCAAAAGTTATACATAGATTTACTTTTGGGGTCGGGACCCTAACCCTCATGTTATTGAAGGGTTAATTGGACATTCAAACTTAAAAAATTTTACACATCTTTAAGAAGTAGCAGAACTAATTGTTCACTGATGGCTATAAAGATGGAATAATTCTGTGAATACATGAAAGTGTGAGGGACTCTTAGAGGTTGTCTAGTTTCATTTGCATGTACACTCATTAATAAGAGTTTCTTTCATTTTGAAAAAACAACAAAAGAGAAAGCCCGTCAATGGGCATCTATAAAATATGCATGGCCAACATATAAGACAAATGTTCAATGCTACTATTAACGGAAGAGATGCAAAATAAAGCAAAGAATTTTAACTTAACTATCAAATTAAAAACACTAAAAAATAAAGAATTCAAGAAAATAGATACTCTCAACATGGGTGGAGAAATGTGGCAATATGTATCTAAAACTTTAGATTTACGTCTTTCTTTTATGAAGAAATTCCACCTTTATAAATTTAGCCAAAGAAAATAATGCTGGATATATATAAGGATGCTTGTCAACACATTGTTTTCAATAGAAAAAAGTTGGAAACCAGTCCAATAACTGGATATTATTTTTAAAGACACAGTCTTGCTATGTTGCCCAGGCTGGCCTCAAATTCCTGGGTCCACGACTCTCTTGCCTCAGCCTCCTGAGTAGCTGGGACTATAGGTGTGCGCCACTGCACCTGGCTTATTAACTGGATTTTTAAAAGCATTTTATTGCAATGGGACATTATGCAACCATTTATGTTATAAAAGAATATTTAATGGTATAAATATATATTCAAAATGTACTATATAGATGTATTATATAAAAAAACAAAGTTAAAGGACAGTAAGCACTAATGTGATGGTGGTTATCTTTGGATGGTAAGTAATAGGTAATGATTTCTTTATCTCTATATGTTTATGTTTTCCATAAAGTGAAAGACTGTTGCAGAAAAGATGACAAATATTTCCCAAAATATCTCAGCATATTTTCGATACTTACTAATGCCTTTCTCCTTGGGAGCAATCTTCTCCATGTCTTTTAATTGAAATACATCTTTCTGTTTAAAAGGGGTAAAAAAAAAAAAAGGTGAAAATTATGTATTTATTTTTTAGTATATATTTATGTATATAATTATGTTCATAAATCAGTGCATTACAAAACTATGCTAGGAAGTGAACAATGCAATGGAATCAAGCATTTTAGAGCTAGAAAACATCTTTCAATTATCTCATTCAATACCCTTAATAGAACCTAAAAAGGACAGATTTTTGCATGAATATACAATTCTTTAAGGTTCTTGGAGATCAGAATATAAAGAACATTTTCCCATTAAAGTACAGAAACTAGTTATCGTGGATCAATTGGTAACATGAGATAATTAGCTTCTCTAATACTTTGATTTTAAGAAAACACAAACAATGCTTTGGGTTAGCATATATTACACTTCACAGATTTAGCAGTTCTCTCAAAACAGATAACTCTCAAGATTTGTTTACATCTAAGGTTTCATGGAAGAACTATACCTAAACAATACAGAAATTATATAATTCATAGCTGCCTATCAATCATTTACCTAAACATGCTCCATATGCAAAGCAAAATATTATGGGAAGATATGTATTATAATATTTAATCTTATGGTCAGAAAAAAAATCTATGTGGAATACTGCTTTCTATTGGTAATAAGCCTTGAAGTGGTAGAAAGAACTTAGATAATGAAAGTAAAATTATTTGAAAAGTCTAAAGTATACAATAATTAGAACAGAAATATTGTGATACTGTTATGAAAATCTGGGATCCATTTCTTCAAAATAAACTTGAAAAGGCAACTTCAAATGGATGGAAATGAAGCTTCATAAAAATTTAAAACTTTTGCTCATCCAAGGGCACTGTTAAAAAACGGAAAAGACAAGTACTGAGTAGAAGAAAATATCTGCAAAACATACACTTGACAAAGGTCTGGTACCCCAGATATATATAAAGAACTGCTTTGAAGTGCATTAAAAAAAAAAAAAACTGATGGATGGATAAAGGAGTAGATAGATGAATATATATGTGATAAAGCAAATAGAGAAAAATATTAGTGGTAGAATATAGGTGATGGGCATATGGGTAGTCACTGTTAAAATCATCTTTGCTGGCTTGAAAATTTTCCTAATAAAATGTTGAAAAAACTTCATCTCTCACTACACCTAAGATTTAATAAATTAAGTACAATACTAAATCATTGGATTAGTGAGAGTATGAGATCAATTTTTGCACATCTGGGAATAAACTATTTAAAGATAACACTTTAGAATCTCAGGGAATATGTAATAAATGACTGACTTTAGGCCTTTAATGCATTAGAAAAATCTATTAATCAAACCTCTTTGCAAATACTTTAGATTCCTTAGAAAAAGAACATGAACTCATTGAGGCATCTGCCTATACGTAGTTACTAAGAAAAATGGCCAGGTGTGGTGGCTCACATCTGTGATCCCAGCACTTTGGGAGGCCAAGGTGGAAGGACTGCTCAAGGCCAGGAGTTAGAGACCAGCCTGAGCAAGACCCTGTCTCTATTATAAATAGAAAGAAAGTAGCCAAACAACTAAAAATATATGTTTTACACAGATTATCTCATTTAATTCCCATACCAATACTTGTGACTATTATTATCATCCTTTTTAATAAAGGAAGAAACTGGGTAAGTTCTCAATCATCGAGCTATACTGTAGTCATGTTCTTCCTAAGTGCAATGGGCAAATAATTCTTTTTTATTACATTAGGAACTTCAAACACACACACACACACACACACACACACACACACACACACACACACACACACACTATAGCCATATATATATGATTATGTCTACAACTCTTTCTCTCTCTATATATATTTATATAAAATTCTCTGGGTATAAGCATAGTCATGCCAGAGAGACTTATGTGCCAATAGAGAGCACTCACTTAAGTCTTTGCTAAGATAATTTCTAGAAAAACTCAACACATATTTATTGATAGCCTATTTTGTGCCTTAAATAGCCTCTGAAGTTTCCTACTCTTTATGAGCTATCATTGTTACCAATGACTGTGTTTTAAAAAGATTTCCAAAACTTTGTAGATGGTCCACTTATGATTAGAGGCAACATGGTTTGTGGTACTTTGCTGGTTTTCTACTTTAATTAAAAAGATAAGATATGTTCACTGTAACTGAGAAAATAAGAGTATAAAAATCTACCTGCAATCTTGTCATTGTTAATATTTGTGATCATACTGTATTGTTTTTTAATATTCTATATTTTATACTTACCATTACTTCATGACATTATTGTTAAAAAGGGACTATTGCTCAAATCTAAGTAAAGTCAAGTTCTGTATCAAACCCTGGAGTAGCCATATTTGATTTTGTTGGAATTTTACTTGCCAGGCGAAACAATAGAATTCGAATCCAGATTCCAGAATCTGAATTCTAGAATCCATGCTTTTCACTCTGTGCCACTCAACTATTTATTTTCTTTGAATGGTTGAAGGGCTTATGCCTAATGTTTATCAATTTTTGGTAGCAGTCTGGATCCTGAGTATACCATATCCCATTCAAGAGAGAATAAATGAAATGGCTTCCATTACTTTTCCCAAATCTATTACACTTTTCAATTCCATCAGAAAACTGATAGACTAAATAAATGAACAGCAACTGATCAGGCTGTAATGTAGAAAAGGGAACAAGAATATATGAACTGAAATCAATCAATCAATTAATACAATTAACTCTCAGCTTTACAGAAAAACTCACTGGTTACTAAACTTCTTTAAGCTGCTGATACTCATTATTATCATAACCTTTAGTGTCTTAATGTTATTGTGGACAGAGTTGAAAATTTTTCAGTCAGAAACAGCCAATGTTGATATTTGGGACAATTAACAATATTGTAAAGAACAAAATAATTCCCCCACCCACTCTCCCCAGCTTTCTAATGCTTGAGAGGAATCAAATCTGCTTTTCTTGTTCTGAGCCCCTAGGAAAAATATTTCAACTCAGCAGAATAAATTATCATAATTTTCATATACAAACTTCATCAATTTATCTTAACCATATCATCATTATTAACGTGATACCTTATTCTGAATTGCCAATGACTTTTAGGAACAATAAGATTACACTTAGAGGGCAAATACTTAAAAAAGAAATCCCCAAAATATTTTTCTTGTTTTACTAAAACTCTGCCTTGTCAAAATGAAAGGCATTTTTAAAATCAATTTAATATTCTATTTTACCACTTTTTCCCCATCTTATTCACACTTGTATGTAATGAAAATGGTCCATACGTTGGGGTCAACTAGGCTTTGAAGGTCCTGCAAAGCCATATGAAGAATTTTTTTTTAGGTCAAAGGTTAGTTTGGACTTTAACCTTTGTGGCAAAGAAAAGCCACATAGCAACACAGTGAAGAGAGCTGGATCCAGAGCCAGGTGCCTAGGTTTGAACTCTGGCTCTGTCACTTAGGAGTTGAAACTTTAAACATACTTCCTATTAGTGGCAGACACAAATATCTTGAATACATTAAGGAGACATGTGTACCAGCAAATATGTGTTACACTATAGACAGACTTATAAATGCAAAGAGGAAGTATTTTGTACTCCCTCTAAAATCAGGTGAGCTTACCCATTATTAATAGTTTGAATCTGGTACTATAACTAACCAAATGAGGATGGATGATAATGATAGTACCTACCTCATAGTGTTGATGTTAGGATGAAATCAGATAACCTATGCCAAGTGCTTGGAACAGTGATTGCTACCTAGGCACTTCCAGGCTGTCACAGCAGTAGATGTGAGCTATTATCAGTATTATTTTCAGTATTTGAGACAATCAAATATATGCTTCAGAAAGATAATTCTGGTGCCAGGACATAGGATAGTCTGGATAGAAGTGACTCTACCAACAGTGAGTGGGATATGGTTCTTTCACACTCTACAATTCACAGGAACCACAAATATTTGCAGAATTCTATCCATTCTTTAAGAAATTGGTCAGTATTGATCTCTAATGAAGAAGAGACAGTTAACATTGGATGATACATACTTAACATGAAAATTATACAAAATTCTAAAAATCTTAAGAAAAATGACTTACTGTCTCAAAAAATATTTCCATCATGCGGGCTCTCTTTTCTTCTGCACTCAGTCCTTTTTTCTTTGACTAAAGCACAAAAGTTAAAAAGTAAACAATGCATTTTGGGGGAAATATTGCATTTTAAAACAACTTGGTCTAAAACATTTGAAATTTTATGCATGGTCTTATCTGATACCAACAAGTTTGATGCTCTGAGACAGGCTGAAAGACTTATTTTAACTACTATCTGCCAACCCTATTGGTATATCTGCCAATATAATAAGAATTGTGATTGAGACAGAGCCTGACATTTTATAGAAATTTAATATTTATAAAATGAACCAATGATAAACTGCTGCATTTACCTCCAAAAGGCTCACAACCTCTCAAAGACATTAAATAGACATACCTACTTATAACTAATGAACAGCAACATGCACAAACTGCTATACAATATCCAGGACAGAATGAATGAATTCCACCACAGGGAGGGAGAAGAGTTATCTAGGAAGGGTAGAGATTTAAAGAATTTTGGCAAAATGAGAAATAGTGAAAAGCGTGTTCTGGGCAGACCACAAACAGCCACATTATGGAAGTACATGGAATGCTCTAGAAAGATAGTTATTGTATGGAATATGTAGGGGGAGTGGGAGATGGGAGGAGAAAGATGTGAGACCAGGTTAGGGAAGGCTGATCGCCCTGCTGAGAGAACTTTATTGTCTCAACAAGAAGCTACAGAGTAATTTCTAAAGCAGGGGAGTGATAAGATTAGAGTTACATTTTGATAAGCTAATTGTAGTAGCAATGTGGAGGAGGGTAGGCTAGAGGAAGGAAAAAAACCTATCCAAGTAGAAAAGGGCAGCTTACTCAGATCACTATTATTCTGTAATACCCTTTAGCCAATTTGAAATTATGATAATATATATAACTGAAATGTATAAGTTAATAATAAATTTTACTATATATTGTATATAGAACATATACCCAAAGCTAAAGTCCAAATTAAAAGAAAAAGGAGTCAAATTTCCTTCAACCCAAAGATTTGTCAAAAAAAAAAAAAAGTGAGAACCATCATCTCTAGTTTTCTAATTCCACACTAATGCTTCCTTTTTTTTTTTTTTTTGAGACAGAGTCTGGCTTTGTCACTTGGTCTAGAGCAGGGGTCCTCAAACTTTTTAAACAGGGAGCCAGTTCACTGTCCCTTAGACTGTTGGAGGGCCACTGGAGAGTGAGGTGCACATTCCACACATGCGCACTGTGGGCCCAGGACGAGTCAGCTGCTAAGCAGGACAGGCAGTGGTGGCAAAAAACCCAGCGGTCCTCAGCAGGCCGCATGTGGCCCGTGGGCCGTAGTTTGAGGACGCCTGGTCTAGAGGTTACAGAGTGCAATGGCATCATCATAGCTCACTGCAACTCAAACTCCTGGGCTCAAGCCTTCCTCCTGTCTCAGCCTCCAAAGTAGCTGAGGCTACAGGCATGCACCACAGCACTGGGCTAATTTTTTCTGTTTTTCTTTTAGTAGAGATAGGGTCTTGCTTTTGCTCAGGCTGGTCTTGAATTCCTGAGCTCAAGTGATCCTCCCACCTCACCCTCCCAGAGTGCTAGGTGTTTGCAGGTGTCAGCCACGGCACCTGGCATACACTAATGCTTAAGTGATCTGTATTTTTCTCAAAATTTTTACAGAATTATAGGGGAACATAAATTGTTTGCTTGCAAAGCAGACATGAAACAATTAAAGACTGACCCTATCCAAACAAAAACTTCATCAGAAAATGTGAACTTACACAGATAGGGAAAGGGATTTGAAATTGTCATTCTGACTATACACCAGAGTACATGAATCTTTATTCTTCTTGTAAAACTTAGAGACCCAATAACTCATTTTCATAGCAATAGAATTATCAGATGTTTCTCAATGAGTTATTTGTATAAATAAGCAGTCTCAGTTTGTATTTTTCTCTTCTTCCTGTCCACTCTCAAACACTGCTATTCCTCAGGGTTCAATTATTGATCCCTCATCTCCTAACATTGTTTTTTTTGAGACAGGGTCTTGCTCAATCTCCCAGGCTAGAGTGCAGTGGTGTCATAATAGCTCGCGCTGCAACCTCAAACTCCAAGGCTAGAATTATCCTTCTGCCTCAGCCTCCCAAGTAGCTGGCACTACAGGTGTGCGCCACCACACCCAGCTAATTTTTCTTTTTCTTTTTTTGTAGAGATGGGTCTTGTTCTTGCTCAGGCTGGTCTCAAACTCCCGGGCTCAAGTGATCCTACTGCCTTGGCCTCTCAGAGTGCTAGGATTACAGGCGTGAGCCCCTGGCAGCCATCCCCAGGTGCCTTCATCTTTCTTACCCCCACATCCAATCAATCACCAAATTCTGCCAATTTCAGTGCTTAACTCTTTCTCCAATCTGTCCTGTCTGCCCCATCTCTACTTCCACTACCTCAATTCAGGCCTTCATTACCTATCTCCTGCATTACAGCTCCAGTCCCCTAAACTGTGTCTCACCCTCTAAGTTCACATGCCACGCTGTGGCAAAACAAACCTGACCATGCCTCTCCCTTGCTCAAAACCATTGGGATAGTGGCTCCCAACTATCCAGAAGTATCCAAGAACTCACAGTATGACATAAAAGGCCACTTTCACCTGGCCCCAAACTCTCATAGCCTCTTCCACCACTCCCCACCTCAAATTTTATCACAGCAATATGGAGAGCTAAGTAAATTGAGCTGTAATACAAAAACTACTTGTAATTCTTTATTTTAAAAAGATGTTCCTCTACCTGGAACAAGCTCTCTTCTTGCCTACTCAAAACTCCAAAATGTCTCCCAACACTCAGGTTAGGCATTCTCTCTCCAGAAGAACTTCCTCTGAGCTTGAAGACCAAGCATGTATTCCCAGAACTCCCCTTCATCAAATCACTTACTACATTGAAAGAGGTGTTTACTTGTATCTCAAAAGACTGAAGAACTTCAGAACATGAACTGCGTTTGCCTTCCCAGGACTCAGTACCAGGTTATACAGAGCAGACATTTAAGGCCAGCCCTTACTTTCAGGACTATGAATCTACAGCCCCCAAATTTAAAATTTGAGGTGGCTCAGGCTTGCAAGCCCACAACACCCACCACATTCCCACAGACACTACACAGGGTGAATTAATAATAAGGAATTCAGTGGTAACCAGGTATTGCCTTGCTTGGAGGGGTAAATCAGAGACAGGTAGGCAAGGTCCAGGAAACCATATAGACCTGCTCACAAAACTTAGGGCTGAGCTAGAGCTCAGCACTGCTTTATTAGCCTCCCTTCACTCTGGCCTCTGCAGTACTGAATAAATCAAGCATGAAATTCGTTATCAGGTAGAAGGCTCCTTCAGGTCACATCTCTAGTCCAATGGGTCTTAAACTGCCATTTCTCAGAATCAGCTCAGGAGCTTTTAAAAAGTTTATGCCAAATGAAGAGAGTCCGAATCTCTGGAACGGGGCCTGGGCAGCATATTTTAAAAACCCTCCCCGGATGCTTTAATTGTGCTCTGGGGTGGAGAACTCTGCTTTTCTCAGCCCAGAATCTGGAGGCTATGTATGTCAGAGGCGCTGAGGGGCAGCAAGAACCCCATTAGGACTTTAGTCTATGGCAGCATTAGCAGAAAACAGATCTCAAACTTTTAGGAAAGGCTCCTACCACTTTGGTATTATAAATAGCTTCTTGGGAAGCCCTTTGCACTCCAAAAGAATCTGCCACCCAGAGGCAGGCAATGAGGAGAATCAAGTGTCCTGGGTCAGTTTTAGAAAAACTCTCAACACTCAGCACCTACGAAATGTAAATGAGCTGTATCATTCATTTACATTGTTTTCAGGCTGACTTATTCATCAATCTCTTTTATTATTATAAATAATTTTTTATTATTATTATTTTTCAGACAGTGTCTCACTCTGTTGTCCGTCTGGGCTAGAGTGCAATGACATGATCATAGCACACTGCAACCTCAAACTCCTGGGCTCAAGTGATCCTCTCGCCTTGGCCTCCCAAAGTGCTGAGATTACAGTCATGAGCCACCATGCTCAGTCCTAATTTTTATTATTACTCACAGTAAGAGAATATCATGGCCAGAATTAAAATAAGTAAAATAAAAGGATGCCATATTAATGCTCACATTTAGAAATTTCTCCCCCCAAAATCAACAAGGCTCACTTAATACTTAAAAACTAGAAAAAATCTGATAGTTTAAGTCAGAGATGCATTTAAATTAGTTAGTAATGAGATTCAAAACTTGACCTGAGGACTATGAAGCTTCCTGGTTGATCAAAGTATTTTAAACCACTTTAAAAATCACCTTTCTAAGGAGCCTTCTCCAATGAGGAATTAAGAAATTCCTAAAGTCAGTCCTGATCAATTACAATAAAATTTTGAAAAATTAAAAAGTAGATGCCATCTGTTGCCCTCAGAGTTGAGCACTGTGCTTCCTCAATTCCAAAAATATGACTGAACTTATAATAACTGTTTACCCAGCAAGACCAACCAAATCGAAATAAACACCAATTAATTTACAATCAATCAAAAGTTTATCTTTGACCATCATAACACATTTATTTCTGATCACATATAAAAGCCAGGAAGAAGGGCCAGGCACTGTGGCTTATGCTTGTAATCCCAGCACTTTGGGAGGCGGGAGGATCATTTGAGGCCAGTTTGAGACCAGCCAGGGTAACATAACAAGACGCTGTCTCTTTAAAAAAAAAAATTAGCCCAGCATGGTGGAGCGCACCTGTCGTCCTACTCAGGAGGCTGAGGCGGAAGCATCAAGGTTACAGAGAGCTGTGATTGTGCCACTGTACTCCAGCCTGGGCGACAGAGCGAGACCCAGTCTCAAAAAAAAAAAGGAAGTACACATCTTATAAGACGTTTTATTTTGTTTTGATTCTCCATTATCAGAGGCAAGCATCTGAAAAGAGTTAACAGCACATTAAACCACTTAAAATTAGAAAGTGATTCATGTGTAAAGAGACATTAGGTCAAAGTTGTATTTGCGATGCAGTTCTCAAGACAGTAGTGAGTTATATGAGGCCAGCGACTCCATAAAGAGAAATATGATAACACAGAGCACTGGTAACAGATCTGTTTTAACTGTGATCCTGTTTGGCTTCCTAGACCACTTCATGCCCAGGTGGCCGGGTTGTTAGTGTAACCACAAAGAAGCCGTTATCAGTTATAATCACACCTGGACAAGTATCTTCAAATAAATACCGCATAACTAGATCCCCGTCCACCATTAATTAGCTCGGCGAAATAACGGCCACTGAACTAAATGAAGAGTATTAAAATCTCAGATCCGTCTAATGAGTTGTTGATTCTCTGCCAACAGCAGCAGGGAAAAATAGAGGAATGAAACTCTGAAGGATTAGGAAGATGGTTTGATGAGCAGAAAGACGTTAAGCTCACAGAGAGAAAGACAACTGAGAACCTCCCCAGGACTGGGCCCGTTAGGACACACGGGGACGACTCCTTCAGCGCGGCGGGTCCGAACAAGGCGACGGACGCCCCGCGCGACCGGCCGTCCGACGCACAGAGCAGCGGCCACTGCTCGGATTTTATCAGAAGTCACCTGACCGGCATGAAGCGAAGACCCATCGGGTCACTCGTGAAGCCGCGAGCGGTTCAGAAACGCGCTTTCCATGTTACAACACACAAACCACCGGCTGTGAACGGCAGGGAGAGCCCTCCCGCGCAGCTCCCCCGCTCGCCGCCCCGCGCCCGCCCGCGCTTTCTCCCGGGTTCCTAATAAGGGGCTGCACTGCGGGGGCCCGAAGCCAGAGGCGTCGGGAGCACCGGTTCTCAGGTGCCTTGTGACCTTTATGACAAGTCACTGAGTGGGTGAGATTCTCGGGTCACGTTCGCGAACGCGTCCCGTGTTCTAATCTAACCCGCCCGCCCGGACGGGCCCCGGGAACAAACGCCGGCTCGGGCGCGAGCGGCGGAGGCAGGTGTGCGGGCGGGCACGCCGGCGACCTGACGGGGCCCTCAGCGGGGAAGCCCAGGGCGGGGCGGCCAGCGCCAGGCCAGGGTGCCATGACTCCGAGGAGCGGCGAGGCCCAGACGCTAACTAGGAAGGAGACCTGGGTCCGCGGCCCCGGCTCTTACCATGGCGCTGGGGTTTCCGGTGGCGGGGCCAGCGCGCGGGACGAGGGGCGGGGCGGGCCAGGGCGGGTTTAACTTTGGCGCGATAACTCGCGAGGGCGGAGCAGCGAGAGGGAGGAGGCAGGGAAGGAGGAAGACCCGCGCCCGCACGGCGCGCAGCGCCCCCTGGCGGCTCCGCCGAGCGGTCGGCCGTGCCTGGGGCGGGGTCGGACCTGTGTTGGGGCAGGGGCGGGGCCTGGGGGCGGGGCGGGGCCTGGATTGGGGCGGGGCGGCGGTCGCCTCAGCGTTAGTGTGTGTGGTGTCGCTGCTTCCGCCTCCTCTCTGGTCTGTGTTGAATAGGACTCTTCTTTTGTTAAGGAAGTCTTGAGCCCTTGCTTTTACGCGCTTCTTCTCGGCGCTGCGGAAATGTGACCTAAGTTTGGCTTAAAGTTTGCTCCTGGGGAAGGAAACGCTGCCTTCGTCCGGATTTGTCCATTCTGGGGCGGATTAGATTCCTTTATCGTTTTCTGATACTGCACCTCCTCTTCTCCGCAACCACTATCCGCTGCTTTTCTAAGCTTTTAAAAATCTGCGTGTATTTGTCTTTCCCTTAGGTTTTTTAAAAAAGTAAACAACAGGATGAATTTCAAATCAAAACAGTCGAAAATGTGCTATATTTCATGACTTTAAAACGTGCGATTCAGAGCAAAAGCTGGAGTCTTCCGCTTGTGAAAAGAAAATAAAAGTCTCAGGGTCGTTCCCCTCCCCCCAATACCTTACGCGAAAAAGAGGGTAAAGCCTCAGGCACATGTGAAGAACTGGCCTCGCAGGCCATTCAGCAAGGAAATTCCTTGCTGACCTCTGAAGAGCAAGGACATGCAAAGAGCACCTAAAACGAAGGTCTGATTCCACACTAACAATGAATTGCAAGTTTATTTTTGCAGGTAACTGAACTGGGGAAACACTGAATCCGACATTCTTCCACCTATCCAGGGACATCTACATAATTGATGCTTCCTTGCCTCCCTTTTCTCTTCTAACATTCTCCTTATTTTGTGTAAAATGTAGATTTCCTGGGCCTCACAAGAATGTAACCACTTTGCCTCTGAGTCCCCATCCGCCTTTTTCCTTCTCTGTATTTGCCTTTAAAACGCTGCAGGTTCCAACTTCCCCTTCGGGAAAAACAGTCACAGCTTTGTCTATGGTTGGTGTTTTTCCTGGGCACTTCCTCACCTTTGTCTTGATAAACCTCCGTTTACTGAGATTTTAACCTCACTCCATTGTTTGGGTTGACACCCTGAAATGCTAAAGAAATTCATGAGATTTCAATTACTTTGAAAATTATGATGCTTGGAACCGTTTTAAAGTATAATTATTTCACTAAAGGCAGAGTGGCATCTAAAATGGGAATTTGTAGCCTCTGTTACTACTTTGGGAAGCAGGGAAAGGGGTAGGTTGATTAGCCTATGTTCCACTAATTCCGTTTTTCCTGGAGGCATTATACCATACTATTGATGGTACATGAGATAATTTAAAAATAGTAAATGGGTAGCCTTTTAATAAATGGCTTAATATGTACTAGGAAAGGTATAATGAATACATCATATCCTGGATTTCTTATGCATTGGTCAAGATACCACTAAAGGAGGTATGTCAGTTAAAAAAAAAGTGAGATTTAATAAAAACACTAAATAACTGCACTAGTGGTACATAAATTTAACAAAAATCACGATGGTGTCGTTTGTGGAAAGCTTTTCCTCCCTAGCTCGCCACCCCCACTACACAAGCGGGTCAGGTCCCTTCTGTGCTACTACAGCACTCTGTACAGCTTTATGGTAGCAACTTGCTTCATTTTCTATTTGTCTGCTTGGATTTAATCCCTATAATATCAACCTGTTTCTATGGCAGGGACTAAGCCAAACATTTTGGTATCATCAAGGCCTACTAAAAAAAAAATAACGAGGCTTATCCTTTGGAAAAAGGAGAACTTTATTTCTCATAAAGGGTAGCAACCTGTCAGGCGGCCATTCCAACAGGTTGGGAAGGAAAGCCAGGGCCAGAAGCTTTGTGTATGTGCTTCAAAGAAGAGACAAAAGGGAACAGGATTTTACACTGAGTGGGGTGGTCAAATATACATATTCAACAAGCTATAGGAAGAGTTATGAATATTTATGAAGGAAAATCATAGGCATATAATTGTGCTTCGTTTCTCCCATCAGGTCATGTCTGAGTGCTCAGTTTTAAAGTGTTTCTGGGATCCCCTTGGCCAAGAGGGGTCCGCTCACTTAGCAGAGGGCTTAGGATTTTATTTTTTGTTCACATGACAATAAATGTATATTAAATGCATACACCAGGTATTCAAGAATACCATCTCATTATTGACTTAAGGATATCTAGATAGGGTTTTTAGTTGAAAAACTGAAGGATATTTTACTTTATTAAAACCTTACTGCATTAAGTAGTGCTTTCTCGGCTGGGCATGGTGGCTCACACCTGGAATCCTAACACTCTGGGAGGCTGAGGCGGGAGGATCACTTAAGGTCATGAGTTTGAGACCAGCCTGAGCAAGAACAAGACCCTGTCTCCACTAAAAATAGAAAGAAATTAGCCGGACAACTAAAAATATATAGAAAAAATTAGCCGGGCATGATGGTGCATGCCTGTAGTCTCAGCTACTCAGGAGGTTGAGGCAGAAGAATTGCTTGAGCCCAGGAGTTTGAGGTTGCTGTGAGCTAGGTTGATGCCACAGCACTCTAGCCTGGGCAAGATAGTGAGACTCTGTCTCAAAAAAAAAAAAAAAAAAAAGTAGTGCTTTCTCACCAATAAACTTCTTAAATTATCTTACATATCATTCAGATATCTTGAGACACACCAAGTTCTGCAATTTTATGGTAGCAGGCAGATGTAGTATATAAGTTATTAAGTATGAAAGCACGGAAGAGTGGGAGGGAAAAAAGTATGAAAGCATGTATTTGCAGGCTCTGAGAAGTACTCTTGAATTTGGATCTTGTAACCATCTAGCATTTTAGAGTAACTAAAGCGATTTGTTTATTGAAAAAAATTGTTTTGCAAAAATCCATCAACACACATTAATTTTATTCTTTTTACTCTGAGTATCTCCTGCTTGCTGAGTTTGTGACGAACAAGACAGGCTACGCCCTTAAGACACTTATATTCAGTGTTGCCCTTCACTCTGCGCCCTGGAGCCTGCTCTGTACAGGTCCACGCCAGTCCTATCCAGCCACACGCCTCCCCCTAGGCAAGAAGTCAGCAGGGCCAAGGGTACAGGCCCACCTGATACCAGCCATGTACCTTCTAGACCAGAGACCTGAGAACCCAGAAACCCCTGCCTGACACATTGAGTTCCCCAGAAAACAGAGCTGGAGACAAAGATGCGCTGGTAATTTATTTGAGAGGTAAAGTCAGGAAGTAAGATTCCTGGGAGACAAAAAAGATTTTAGATGGTTTGTGGCTCTCAGTACATAAACAGATATACAGTGTATCTCCGATATTACAATTTCATGGGATTGGGCATAGGGATGTGATTAAGAAAAAAACGTCAAGGCCGGTCTCTGTGGCTCACACCTGTAATCCTAGCACTCTGAGAGGCCAAGGCAGGAGGATCGCTCAAGGTCAGGAGTTCGAAACCAGCCTGAGCAAGAACAAGACCCTGTCTCCACTAAAAATAGAAAGAAATTAGCTGGGCAACTAAAAATATATAGAAAAAATTAGCCGGGCATGGTGGCCCGTGCCTGTAGTCCCAGCTACTCATGAGGCTGAGGCAGGAGGACTGCTTGAGCCCAGGAGTTTGAGGTTGCTGTGAGCTAGGCTGATGCCACAGCACTCTAGCCCAGGCAACAGAGTCAGACTGTGTCTCAAAGAAAGAAAAAAAATATCTAAAAAGACTTCTTAGAGGGATGATAATGGGGAAAAAAGGTTGAGAAACACTGGTGTATAGTGAATACATAATTCATCATCCAAACTGGGACACTTCTGAGAATGAAAGGGAGTGCTATTCATAATTATGCTGGGACAACAGATATACAGCAGGATTGTCCCCATCAATTATATGATAACTTGGAACTTCCATGATATGTTGCTAACACTTCTCCACAGCTTTTAATTTGCTCTGCATTATAGTGATACTTTTAGTCTTTCCATCTGGAATGTAGGCCCCTTAGGAGCAGGCACAGTAACTTACTCTTTGTAACCCTGCCTCATGTCTCATCATTTATGCTTGAGCACTTTATGATCACACCATATTGAACTATTTGTTCTTCCCTGGACAACCTGTGCTCTCTTGCCCTCTTTTAGCACAACTGTGGGGCAAGTTACAGGGTGAGTCTTGGGATACCTGTGAGGATCTGCACTCACCCAGCAAGTATCCCCATGGCCAAGGGAGTATGACATTAAATAGCAAATAAAAAACACCATGACTGGTGGAGAGAAAGACCTCAGAAGAAAGGAAGATGACTTTCTCATGCTTCGTGAACAGGGTCCTTGAATTTTCATTTTGCACCAGGCTCCATAAATTATGTAGCCAACTCTCTATATATTCACTTATTTGTCTCAACCCAGTAGAATAAAACTCCATGAGAATGGAGTTCTTTTTGTTTTCTTGTTTATGACTATTCCCTAGTGACTAGAACAATACCTGAACATACTAGACTCAATAAATATTTACTAAGGAGGCGGGGCATGGTGGCTCAGACCTGTAATCCCAGCACTTTGGGAGGCTGAGGCGGGAGGATCACTGGAGGCTAGGAGTTTGAGACAAGCCTGGATCTCAAGACCTTGTCTCTTACAAAAAATTTAAAAATTAGCTGGGTGTGGGGGCAAGTGCCTGTAGTCCTAGCTCCTCAGGAGGCTGAGGCAGGAGGATCAGTTGAGCCTGAGAGTTGGAGGTTGCAGTGAGCTATGTCGAAGCCACTGCACTCTGGCCTGGGCAATAGAGTGAGACCCTGTCTCTAAAAAAAAGAAGAAAAAAAAAGGTTTGCTAACAAATGAATATAAAAGCAGTTCATGGTCTATTTCAAGCAGGCTGTAAGCTCTTTGAGGGTCTAGGCTTCATTATTCATCCTTGTATCCCTTCCACAAGCTGGTGTACCACAGGTGCTTAGACTATAGCAACAAAAGAGACCCATGTCAGGGTAGGGCAACATATGTCAATTTGCCCATTTTGTCTCCTAACTTATGCAAAAC